AAAGAAAGAAAGAAAGAAAGAAAGAAAGAAAGAGAGAAAGAAAATTTATGATTCTGAAGACTTTATATTGAACATGCATAATGATATTAGAAATATTGGGCTTCCTGTGGTCGTCTGCAAACTCTACGGTCTACTTAACTTCGAAAATGCAGTCTTCTTTCTCTTTGAAAAAACCGAATATTTCCAAAGATTTAGCGATTGATATTGCAGAGAAACACTTTGGCCTTGAATCTAAACTCTTTGCAGTGAAAGAATTCGACAGCTATAGTGACAAGAATTTTTATTTTAAAAGAAAATCTGACCAGGATCAGAATGAGGACAACGAGTTTGTCCTAAAAATTCTCAACAATGTTGACTCAGCTATTGAAGGGATGGTTGAAGCACAGAATGGAGCGATGCTGTTCTTGAAAAACCAAGGGCTTATTTGTCCTGTGCCAGTGTTATCTGCAAGTGGGAGTTATATTATATATCATGATTGCAGCCAACCTGAAATGACTCAAGTCAGACGAGACAAAGGAGGCGACAAAAGGAATGCCGTACGATTAATGCGGTATGTACCTGGAGATATACTGAAAAACGTGGCTGTACTCACAGAAGATTTCCTTTTCAACTTTGGAAAATACATTGGAAAGCTCGATAAAGTTCTCAAGGTGAATATAAGTTTTATAGGATATGCCTTCTCAGACTAGCCTGCGTCACATCCGGAATTTTCTTGGTAAATACCGGATGTGACTACTTCAGACCGCCGCCATATTTGTTTTCTAGGGGAGGGGAGGGTTGTTAAGAAGTGCACTATCTATCTCTCTAATATTTCAACTTATATCTATCGAAGCCTATTCATTCAAAATAGAATGAAAAATGGAAGCAAAAGCAACTGGAAATAAAAGAAAGATAGCCCAGTCAGCGCCTAAAACAACCACAGGGAGCCCACTTTAAATAAAACGGATGGATAAACAACATCACAGGCAGCCCAAACAAAGTTCCTGTGTATGGTTTATAAGGGAATGTATGGGAGTTATGATAAAGTTACGAAAATAAAATATTTCACTCAACCATTTGCTTCAAAACTTGCTGCAGTTGTTGCTTTTACTTTGTTCAGTCTTCTGGCGACGTTTCAGCGCGATTTGAGGCCGTTTAGTGGGTTTTTTCAAAAATCTGCTCTTCTCTACCTACTGGATAATTTGTCTCATTCAAGCTCATCGTTAGTCTTGTTTCGATGCAAAAGCACAGCCTTTCAAGATGGCGCAGGGAACTAAAAAGGGGGACTATTGCATAACTTTTTCTCTTATCTTCGTGTGGAGATTACACATTTCAAACTAAGTGCCATTCTCTTGAGAATAAGATACTTTGTTTGAGTTGTACTCATATTCATGCGTCTTCTCATGTACAACCCCTAAACAAGGAAATGATACTCCAGGGAATGACAAGTGCTCTGAAATGGGAAAACATATTTATTACACACAAACTGAAGAGGTCTATTTTTAATTTTTCACCAGGATTACAGCCATCCAGGACTCAATGATGAAGTATGTTATAACTGGGACTTGGTACACCTCAGTAGTATAAAACCCTACATCTCAGCTAAATACCTYGGTACTAAAGATCGTGAGAACCTTGTTATGAATGTGTATGACCAGTACTTTGCCACTGTGCCTCAAGTTCTTCAGAAATGCTCTAAACAAGTGATTCACAATGACATCAATGAATTCAACGTCATTGTAACCCAGGATACCGATGTTACTACTGATGTCAAATGGAGAACTGTTGGTGTTATTGATTTTGGTGACGTGTGCTACAGTTATCGTGTATTTGAGATAGCGATAGCCATGGCTCAGATAATCACTCTCAACTACTGTAGAGGGGATCCAAAGCCTTTAGAGAGTGCGGGAAAGGTATTGAAAGGATATCAGTCCGTCTATCCGTTATCTACAGAAGAACTCGCCATCATTTATTGGTGCATTGCCGGAAGGTATATTCAGCTTTTAACTATAGGCTCATTTCGATGTTCCATTGAACCTGAAAATAAAGAATATATCATGGCAACAGATATTCATATCTGGAAGGTTTTGCCAGAATACTTAAGGGTGAACCCTATAGAACTGTTAGATAAATGGATGAATGATGGAACAGAGATTTAGGTTATTTTAAATAACCAGTTACATTATTGAGCTCTCCTAGCAATACACTCAGTTTTTTGCTTGAAAAGCACCATCAAAGATAATGCATTTGCCCATGCACTGGCAATTTACCACCTATCATGTTGCATTTTTTTTTCTCCACCAAAGTCAAATTCTAGTTAAAATCTGCTTTTTCAATGATTTTTCAATTTCATTATAATTTACAACCATTTACCATTAGGGGCACTTCCATGGGGCTCTCTACACCCACTACCACTACATTCTCTATATTTTACAATACTCAACTCACTTGTTCATTTTTATGGAGAAAAATTGGATCCAGAGAAAATGCCTCTTGGTAACAGAGAAAACAACACATCAAACAAACTCAACTCACATATGCAGTTCAGTTGAGAAAATGAACCAGCAACCAAACGCTTGAACTACACAGCAAGTGAGAGACACTGCCGGAGCGGGGCATGCCATACTGACTCATCCCAAGTTGTCTCTCTAATATACCGGTAGTGCACAAAAGATGACTGGGAATGAGTCATCATGCCAGGGATGATTATCATGGCCAAACTATCTTATTATTACATAACAATAAATTAATACAACACGATAAAAATAGATAAGTGCACTTTAATGTTTACCAGTATATTTACTATTTACAATCTAATAAAATCGTTTGGAAAAAATAATGAATATAGAATCTTTTAGCTGATATTATGGTGTTGCTAAGAGTGTTTTATGATCTTGCATGCGAAGTTGTACAATTTTCTTTCGCGACAAAATAACCTATTTTGTCACCATAGCAAATAGCACGATTTGGGTAAGTGTTATAATGGGTTTTTTCTCTGCTAAAAATAACTGGAGATCCAGTGGGGAACATGAAAAGTACTGGCTTACAGCACATGCATAGGACAAACATGTCTTAACACTGTAAAGGTTCCAATTTCTTTCATGTACTTTGATAGATCACAAAGCAAAGTTACAGACATTGATATCCCCAATTGTTTCCCACTCATACACCACTGTAATATATACAACCCTAGGAAAGACAATATACTCCTTGGCCCCGCTATCCCTCCCCTATTTCCTCTTGGGTGGCAACATAGACTACTGTCTAGAGACGACTGTGTCAACATTTACTTGAGTGATAACAATTCTATCTTTAGGGGTCAATGTCTTCATCAGGTGGTAAAAAAGGTATATTGATATCACATCCTGATGAGAACGCCTAACATAAAGGGATGTTTAAGATATATTTAGTGAAACAAATCATTGGAAGTAATATTTAGCAGGCTAAGTAACCAATTGCAATTGTAATCGTAATTGATTAGGATAATGACGGTTGTATAGCAAAGAAACGAATGTACCGTGCCGTGTCTGACAATTTTCTCGTATAGTTTAAGGTACAAATAACGTCTCGCGAAGTCAGTAAATGTACGTTCTATCGAAAGAATGACGAAGTTGTACGCTGTATTGTATTACAGTCGTATCTTATCTGCTCTAACGTCTAGAGTACCGTAGGCACAGACCGGCAAGATTATGATTCTTAATACTGAATACGATGATTATGCGCCCTGATACGATGTTGTAGGACGGTTTTCGCATGAGTGGATAGCGTACGGCACTGACTCACAGCAAGTACACAGTACCACATGCTGAAATATTGAAATGGCTTCTTATAAGAATGGTTTTCGTATGAGTGGGAAACGTACGGTACTGACTTACAGCACGTACACGGTACGACCTGCTGCAACATGGAAATGGCTTCCCATAAGAATGGTAATCGTATAAGTAGGAAAAGTATGGTACTGAATTACAGCACGTACACAGCACGACATGCCGCAACATTGAAATGGCTTCCCATAAGAATGGTAATCGTATAAGTAGGAAAAGTATGGTACTGAATTACAGTACGTACACAGCACGACATGCCGCAACATTGAAGTGGCTTTCTATTATCTTCCAGTAATTTATCCAATCACAACACGTAGTTGCGTCTGCAATGAGACACGGTACCGATACAATACAAAGTCCTACGTATTTGTCATATCATTTTCCACTCTTACAAAAACCGATCTAGTAATGGTTTGGCGTAATTTTCGATACTAAAACTTCATAACGCAACAAATAAAATTTAAATTTAAAACTTAATTGCTCGCGATCTCAGTTGCCGGGATATGATCGAATGAGCCTTGGTTTTCTCGTTGCTCTTGGGAATAGAATCAATGCCAGACTGGAATAAAGAATAGGACATCGTAAGAAAGGGAAACTACTGAGCTTTTTAATAGAAGGGAGGACGTATAATACTAGTGCTCGGGATACTTTGGTTCATCTTGTATTCAAGGGAGATTATCTATGATTAGGAACGATTTCATTCATTGATTCGCTCTTTCTTTTTTGTCTCCCTTCTCTCTGCCTCGGTATCATTTTTGCAAAATCATTGTTTCGTTCAACCTTCCTTCGTGTCTTTCATTTTCTTCATTTTCTCTTCAATCATTCCTATGCGTTCTGTCGCTCGCTTACCTATTTTTTCTTTCTATTTTTCGACTTTCTTTGTTTTCTTTCTTTCTGTCTATCTCCCTTTTTTATTTCCTTCTTTTTGTCTTTTTTTCCCTTTCCTGTCTATTTTTCATTCTTTTGTTCGTTCATTCTCTATTCCTTTCTTTCACTCTCTTTGATCAAAGAGTTTAATGTGTGTAAATAAACTCCAACCGGGACCACTTTGATAAACTAGTATCATTAACCAATCATATTGCGACATTTATTTCCGACTTTTTAATCAGCAAATCAGATAGCGCATCGATATAATAAGAGCCTGAGAATGTAATAATCTGATTGGCCAAGCTGTTAATACTTCAAACTCTGTCTAGTTTACTGTTTTCTGATTGGACAGTTTTATTCAAGTGGTCCCTGTACGTCTATCAACCAACTCTCTCGATAATATACGGCTTTTCCTTCTCATTTTAGTTTGGTATGTTATGCTCCCGTTTCTACATTACTTACGATACAAGGCGAGAAGTTATCCATCGGTGCCGAGATATCTTTCTTCAGCAACTTCCGTCCCTTCTTGGGAGGTGGGGTGTTTTCCTCACCTTCTAAAAGGAAGAAAAAATGCATTCCTAAGATTATTACCAATCGACTTCGGAGACATAAATCTAAATAGCGCCTGATAAATCTTGTAAAAGGGTCGCGATTAGTGTGCGGTGCCCATGGCTTTTTACATGAAATTTTCGCTATAGCTGGTTTGCAATCATTCCCAAGAGGAAAAAAATGACAAAAAAAAAAAACAAAAAAAACACGGCGGCCATGTTGGATGATATAACAAAAGAGACGAACGACGAATCTTCTGTTAAATTCATCCAACATGGCGGCTGTGTTTTCACGACTTCGAAAAAATTGCCTATTCAAAGGGACGCGAAAAATAAATGTGAAAATATGAAGACTTATCAAGCAATTATTTTGTTGTATCATCCAACATGGCCCTTTGAAAACCAGCAATAGGGAATTCAAACCCAAGGAATTAACGCTCCAAAAAAATTTTTTTGTACTTTTGTTAGAAAAACGTTGCAAGAATTTTATGTTATAAGGTAAAAATAAATCTTAAGTTACCTTTATTGGAAAACAATTTTCCTAAGAAGCGTTTCTTTTTGATGCTTGATTGCTTTTTTAGTCCTTCAGGAGCAGTTTCCTTGTTTTCATTCTGAAAAAAATACAAAATTATTACTATTTGCAATATCCGCTTCTTAACAAGTTATGGACACCCTGTGGTCAGGTAATGAAAGGAAAGGACTAGGTATCAAAATATACGATTTTCGTCTCGTTCCCATTTTCCCGGGTCTACCCTGCGAGCAGAGTCTCCTTTTAACTCGTAGAGGAGGTAAAAGGAGACTGCTCGCACGGTATTCTGGGTCCAGCTTATTGAAGATAACGGGATAAACATTAGAGAGTTTTAGATTTACATTCACGGCAAACGTGAAACGTCAGTTGATCAGTAAAAAATTCTTTTAAATTACTGAAAAAGAATCGCAAAAAAGTCCAAGTAGTAGAAAAACAAAAGAGTATTTGTGCTTGGTGAGAAGGTTTGTAAATAGTAAAATAAAGGAAAACTATGAAAACGTGGTCACGTTTGCCGTTCGCGGGGAGAAAAAAAAGTCAATCTAAAATTCTCTATTAAAGATGAACTACTTCAACAACCCTAAAATTATAAATCAAATAACCGAGCTTTCGGGCTACGCGATTATCATCAGAATGTTTGGATGGGAATTGTTTGAGCAGACCTTTTAAGATTAATGTTTTCCCATTTCACAACACGTGTCATTCCCTAGAGTATCAATTCTTTGTTTAACGGTTGTACATGAGAAGACACATGAATATGGATACGACTCAAACAAAGAATCTTATTCTCAAGAGAATGCCACGTGGTCTGAAATGGACCTAATCCATTGTTTTCTCATTTCAGACCACGTGTCATTCCCTAGAGTAATATTTCTTTGTTTAACGGTTGCACATGAGAAGACACATGAATATGGATACGACTCAAACAAAGAATCTTATTCTCAAGAGAATGACATGTAGTCCGAACTAATGGGGAAAAAGTACGCCAAAAGTATGAGCGTATTGTAGTTACCATTGGTGACAGTGGTTTGACGGGTGGTCGCTGACCCTTTGTTGAGGAAGAACAAGCAGTAGAATTAGCTCTTGTTTTTCTGGTACTCCTTTTTGGTCGCCTGTCAAAACACAAACAAAAATCAGTTCTTGTCGGTGCCGTATGTGGCCGTGCCGCGAACGTGATGTTTTCTAGGGATGCTTGCCGTTTACCAGAAAAAACCGGAAATTCCGGTTGTAAAACTCGATCTTCCGATTAAGGAATCCACTTTCCCTCTCTTTTAAATACTTTCAGTAGACGCGTATACCATTTTTCGAAAGTCAAAGTTTCCCGCTCTTTTCCGTTCTTTCGGTAGACGCGTGTACCATTTTTCGAAAGTCAAAGTTTCCCGCTCTTTTCNAAAGTCAAAGTTTCCCGCTCTTTTCCGTTCTTTCGGTAGACGCGTGTACCATTTTTCGAAAGTCAAAGTTTCCCGCTCTTTTCCGTTCTTTCGGTTAGACGCGTGTACCATTTTTCGAAAGTCAAAATTTCCCGCTCTTTTCCGTTCTTTCGGTAGACGCGTGTACCATTTTTCGAAAGTCAAAGTTTATTATTTTGATCGCTAAAAACAAAACGGAAAGAGCACACGCGCGCAAATTGATGACGCACGGGAGTAAAGTAATGCGAAATTTAAACTACATCCGGTTACCAAAAATAGCCCAACCGGGAATTTACATGGCGCGCGCGTTATTAAGACGTATCCCTCTCTTATCTATGCTCTCTTGGTTAATAGGTTAGTACATTTGCGACATAAACATACTTACTCTTTTAGTTTCACAGATCCTGGTGTGAACTCGTCTTCACTCTGTTCCATTTGTTTCCTTGCTTTCAAATGGTTTTTTATCTGTCAATCAAATCAAATGTCAATCAATGGATGAATTCTTTTCAAAAGTGGGGTCACTTTGACAACCAATCAGAGATTCAATTGACCTAATTCACTATGACGTCACTGCTTGTTTATGTGGGGGATAGAATCGCCAAATCCAATAGAAAATTCAACAAAATTTGCTCCTAGCGAAACAGTTTAATCTAAGATGGCCTGGTTTTCAGATATAATATGTGTTAATATGTACTAAAAAATATTCTGAGCGTTTGCTGTCTATTCTACTTGTCTTCGTAGATTGATACGGGTTTTAGAACAATTTTCGGTGAATTTGCGTTGATTTGACCCCATCCGACGACCATGATCCTTTGCGTTTAAAGAATAGAAGAAGATTGTTTTGATGTGACGTCATAGTGAAATAGGGCAAATCATTACTAGGGGCTTTGGGGATGGCGAGCCTAGTGCATGCTGGTCTATTTTGGGTACAAACATTTTTGTTTATCATTGCTTATATAGTGATTATTGTACCCAGCCTAAACCAGAATCCACTTGTTTGACTTTTCTTATTAGCACACATAGGTTTAGAATGGATTCATCTCAAAATCGTCTTGAATGCGAGGCTAACACGGAAATACAAAGGAATTGCCACAATTTCTATCGAGAAAAAGTGTGATGTTTCTTTTGTATTTTCATGTTAGCCTCGCATGGTCGATTATGCTAAGTAGTACCTCTGATAATGGCAATTCGCTACTTCGTCTTTTTTTTGTGGAGGTCGTTTTCGATGGAGCACGTGACGTCCTCTTACGCCTCTTGATTGGTGTAACATCGATCTCTATGCGGCCTTCTGGTAACGTCTCATCCTTTAAGCTCTGAATATGTTAGACAATATAGATCAGCCATTTCTTACCCGCGCTGAATTCCAATTCGATCAGTGAGTTAGCCATGCCCTGAGTTATATCAGCCCAGAGGTTGTTTCAGGGTTCGATCTGTAAGTTAGCCATGCCCTGACTTAGATCAGCCCAAAGGTTGTTTCAGGGTTTGATCTGTGAGTTAGCCATGCCCTGAGTTATATCAGCCCAGGGGTTGTTTCAGGGTTGGATCTGTGAGTTAGCCATGCCCTGACTTAGATCAGCCCAGAGGTTGTTTCAGGGTTGGATCTGTGAGTTAGCCATGCCCTGACTTAGATCAGCCCAGAGGTTGTTTCAGGGTTGGATCTGTGAGTCAGCCATGCCCTGAGTTATATCAGCCCAGAGGCTGTTTCAGGGTTCAATATAAATGATGTTCGGTTTGTTTGTTAGCATAATCTTGAAGAGTATTCGAGTGCTTCTCACACTCCTACCGAGTATGCATACACAGTCTATCTTTCTATACCTTAACAGACATGTTTAGACCCGACGTTTGAGGAACAGAACTGTTTTCATTATTGGCTCTTTCCTTCGCAGGCGGTTCAATGGCAGCTTTCTTGCCGTCCTCTACTTCGGTGGTGCTATCTTCGTCTTGACTCGAGGCTGACTTATTTGTCTTTTCTTCTTTCTTGTTGGTAGGACTTTCTATGAACATCTCGCACTCAGTAGAATTCCTCTTGGTCTTGACCTTAAAATAGAACCATGAAAAAAACCCTGAGTAAATGAGTCTGTAATCATGAAGCACAGCTGTATTTTACAAACTAGAAAACGTGTACTTGGAAGACAAAACAATGGATTTTCACGATAATACAATCTAATTCTATTGCATTGCCCTCCAAAATGAGCTGCTAATAAATTACCTCTATTTTATTGAGTTTGATCTTCAAGTCAGGCATTTTTTTCGCAGGCTTTCCGCCCTCAAACTCCTCTCTTAATTTCTCTATTTCCCTTTCATGTTTAGCCTCAAGTTCTGCGGTACATTCTTTTTTCATTGCCTCCAACTTGGCTTGATATTCGTCCTTTTTCGCTGCAGCAATAGCAAGAGCTTGTCTCATGACTTTCAAGGTTTCCTCTTTTTCTTCGTTGGCTGCTCGAACATCGGCGTCTTTCAACTGACAAAGATCTTCATACTCTTGCTTCTTGCCTTCGACCTGTGAAAAAATAGCTTAGCATTTATTGCAATTACGGAAGACAATGTATTTCATTGCTGCGTTCTGATTGGATGAGCTACTACTGCTAGTAGAGAAAAGTGCCGGCTTTTAAAATTCAAAACATTAAATTTATCTTTAAAAAAATAGGACTGGTTCGAGCTTTAATTCAAAACTTGTTTGCATGCATCTATATATTTGACCGACTAGTTGGATTTGACTAAAACAATTAAGGTGCTGACACACGGTACAACATTGCATGCAACATTGCACGCAACAGGACTGTTGCCAGCGTGTGTCTACCCCAAACCTGTTGCACGCAACGTATACAATAAATCTGAAGCTGAATCGCGCTCTACTCTTGCAACATTGCGCGCAACAAATTTTATCGTGTGAACATGGCTGCAACATTACCTGCAACATTTTGAAATTTCCAGCCAATCAGCTTGCACCAAATTTATAACTGCTGACCAAATATCTTAGCATAGCAGGCTGACACAAGCGATGTTGCGCGATTTTGTTGCAATGTGTGTCACCCTGATTCAAATTTGTTGCGTGCAATGTTGCACCGTGTGTCCGCACCTTTTGTCCTCTTGCCATCATGGCCTATGAGTCAATATTCCATTCGGCCGTCGGGCCGGTTCATGGGCTATTGACTCATTCAGGCTCGAAGACTAATTACTAAGTAGTGCATCGTTACTTACGACTTGAAGTCTGACCGTCAACTTGTTAATCTCAGCTTCTAGATCTTTTGCTTTCTGCTGCAAAGATTTCTTTTCCTTATTTGCTTCACTTTGTGCGCTCTTCAGCTGTGTTTTCAGCTTGCCTATCACGCCTTCCTTCTGCTCTAACTTTACCAGAATGTCTGTCTTTTCCTTCTCATGGTCTCTACTGATCTCCACTTTAGATATTTCAATCTGTTGATCATTTTGCCTTATTTCTTTGACTTCTTTTTCAAGACGTTCCTTCTCTTCAATGTAGACTGCTAGGGTTCCTTCAAGTCGACGTATTTCGGCCGTAGTACTTTCGTTACAGTTCTCCTTGGTATTCATCTTATTAAGAAGTTCTCCGTTTTCGTTCAGCAAGGATTCGATCTCATTCTGTCTTTCGTTTAGAGCTTTTTCTTGTTCTTCCATCACGGCGTCTTGTTCGTCTAAAACCTTTTTGAGCTCGTTCATCTCCTTTTCGTGCTGTTCAGAAGCTACAGCAAAAAAATTAAGAGTTTTAAGGATAGAAAGAGTTGTATCCATATTCATGTGTCTTCTCATGCGCAACCATTAAATAAAGAAATGGTACTCTAGGGAATGACACGTGATCTGAATTTGGAAAACCTTACGCTCAAGCTAGAGTTTTATAGAGCAGTTTTCGTATGACTGTGAAAAGCTCAGTGCTGTAAGCGTGACGTGCCGTGATGCTTTCTAGAATTTTAATTGGCTGATTTTTTCACGCGCAATGTGATTGGTCTGGCATTGCCGTGACTTTGGCGTGACCGTGTCCGCGCCGTGTTTATGCCGTGTTCCGGGTATTTGATTGGATGGAGAGTAAATTCTCGTGCAATGTGATTGGTCTGGCATTGCCGTGACCTTGGCGTGACCGTGTCCGCGCCGTGTTTATGTCGTGTTCCGGGTATTTGATTGGATGGAGAGTAAATTCTCGAGCAATGTGATTGGTCTGGCGTATCCCTAACCGTGTCAAGAACGCGTTCGTGCCGTGAGCTTTTCACAGTCATAAGAAACTGCACTAAAATATTTTATCTCGTCATGATGGTAGTCCACAGCATATCAGAGGGAAAAAATTCGCTAAATAAAACTTTTGCATTTGCCGCCAAGAGAGTATGCAAGGGAATGGAAAAATCAAACAAAAAATACTAAAGCAATACCTTAGTATTGGCATTGTTAATTTTAGAGGTATGATGATTACAAACACACACACACAAAAGTGGTTGAAACCAAAGAACGCAAAGGCACTTGGGATAGCTCTGAATCCTCCTCTTCTATCAAAGACACGTCAGTAGCAAGCTATTTATCATCTTACCACTAATAAGCATATCGTTCATCTTCTGCAACTCCTCTGCCTTGCCCTCCAGTTCAGTTATACGAGACATTTGTTTCTTCCTGTCTCCTCCCTCGCTCTCCATCACCTCTTTCATTTTCGCCACTGTGTTCTCTAAGGTCGCTTTTTCCCTTGCATGGCGTGCTTCAGCTTTTGTTAGCTTATTCTCAAGGTCATCTATGTTTTCTCCACGCTCTCTTATTATAGCTTGGTGTTCTACGAGAGTCTTCCACACCTTAAAAAGATTAAAAATAGGTGCTATTCATAGTTCCGCTTCCCTTAGTTACCCTTGCTATGTCTCACAAGTTCAACAAATTATCTAGAATATCTCAGAATTTAAAACTGTGATGGCGGAAAATATTTTATAGGTAAGATAAATTGCCTAGTTTTTTAAAGCGGATACTGTGTAGTTGTTTGTGGTACAATATTTTAATTCCACTTGGAAAACTGCTGCAAAGGTGATTATTTTGCTGTTGTCTGAAGGAAGAATTACAGTTATCCCAAAGAGATGCCTACCCATCCTCTTATTTTGTAGCCAACCACAACAATGAATGAAAAACGTATTAGTGTGAAGTAATGCGACGTCATTTCGCTTGCTAAGACATGTCACTTTGACAACGACGTCTGCATCAAAAGTAGCGTTCGATTCCAGTGTCCTATCTTTTCTAAATTCCGAGGTCGAATAAAAAAGTGGGTCGAGTTGCCATTACATTGCATTTTGGGCCTGATATAGACCCATGACCATATATAGACGCCATGATAGAAATATGTCCCAAAATGCACTGCAATACAGGTTTTGTACCATCACGTGTCGGCGCCCATAATACAGCATGGACTGCCTTTGGTTAGATGGCAGAACAATAAAATCCCTTTGCTCTCGGGAATGGACAGAATTCTTTCTCATGTAAAACGATTGTATTGTTCCTGCCATCTAACATGGCTGCCGTCACGTAATGATGAAAAGCCTCTACGCCAAAACGAAAGATAAAAATCACGAACGGCCTCAAAATGGTACATTATTCCAACCTTATCAAGTTCTTCTGACTTCTCTTTCTCTGCCTCAGATGACTTTTGTCCGATTTCTCTTACAGTTTCTTCTTTTTCCTCCAGCTGTTTTTCCCTGAACTGGATTCTTTCTTGAAGTTGGTTTATTTCTCTTTCTTTTGATTCTTCGAGCATCTAAAATGAAAGGAAATATCAAATCGGTTGAATTTTCGATCGATTGAAAGACAGATCCAATCAGAAGACAACAAAATCCGTTTTCTAATTTGCTCATGTTGGAAAGGTTGTCCCTTCAGCCTCAAGCCTGAACTCTACTCACCTGCAACCTTTCGACATTTCTTTTCAACTCCTCTTCAGCACTTTTAAGCTTCTCCATCAAAGAAGTAACTCTTTCATCACTCTCTTTTACATTTTCTGACTGCTGCAGATTTAATTCTTCAACTCTCTTTTCATACAGCTCAGCTTTGTTCTTCACATCTTCTAATTCCTTTATTTTCTCCTGTTTTTCATTCTTCGCGTTTTCTATTTCTTCTTTCATCTGTTCTAGAAGTTTTGCAGTTTCTTCTGTTTTTTCTTTCAACTCAGACTGTTGAAGGCGATAAACTTCAATCTTCTTCTCATTCGCTTCCAACTTCTCCTTATCTTTGAGACTCTCTTCTTTAACATCGTTAAAATTATTTTCTAACTCTTTTACTCGGTTTTCAGAAACTTCCAGCTTTTCCTGAAGTTGGAGAACCTCTTTGCTTTTTTCTTCTTGTTGTTTGGAAACTTCTTCAAACTTGCTTTGATATTCTTGTACCTTTTGCTTCAGTTCTTCAGTGTCCTTGTCAGCTTGGACAACTCTTCGTCGTAAAGTCCTGATTTCTTCTCTCGTCCTCAGATCTTTAGACGGTGTCTGTAAGCCTTGCCCTTTTTCCTTCGTTAGTTCAGAAATCTTTGCTTCCTTCTCACTTAGCGAGAGCTCCAGGCGTTTAAGAGCGTTATTTCTTGAGATGAGTTGAGAATTTTTTTTGTCTAAGGCTCTTGTTGTCACTTCAAGCTGTTTCTCCAGTTCTTTGATTTCTTTCGTCTTATCTTTATTCTTAGCATCAGATCGTTTTTCTTTTCTTTCGTCGTCATTCCCTTCTTCAGAGGCTTTCGAATTTTCCTTATTCTCCTGCTGTAGCTTGTTCTTAACATCCTCTAACTCGTTCACCAGTTCTTTGACTCTCAACTCCTTCGTTGCCAAGTTCTCACTTAGTTTCTCGATCTCTAACTTCGCTTTATCAAGAGATACTTTTTCTGTTTTCAATTCTTCCAGTTCGCTCAGTGTCGTTTTTAGCTCTGACTCTTGTTCTTTAACCTGCCTTTCCAACTCTGCTTGCCTCTTATTCGAAGCTCCAAGCTTATTCTTCATTTCTAGATCTTTCTTCGCGTCCGTTTGAAGTTCCATAAGCTGAGTGTTCTTGCTCTCTAAGGTTTTTTCTAGCGAAGAAATATTTTCCTTCGCTTCGGTAAAACATTTCTTTAGCTCTTCCACTTCTTGTTTAGCTTCCGCGATCTGGTTCTTGAGTTCCCCTTCTTTAGTTTTCGCATCATCTAAAGCGCACTTTATTTCTTCTTTCTCGAAACCACTCATCTCCATCTGTTCCTTCGCTTTTATGGAATCCGTCTCGGCCTTCTTCAACTGCTCCTTCAAACTTTCAAACCTCTTATCAGAATCGTCCTCAGAAACAGCTTTCTTCAATGTCTCAAGCTCATCTTCTAACTCGACAATCCTGATTTTCTGTTTGTTGTTTAGCATGACAAGATCTCCCTTATCGAGCTCTACTTGTTCGCGAGTTTCTTCAAGTGATTGCACAAGCTCCTTCATAAGTTCATCCCTAGCCAAGAGCTGCTCTCTCAAGTTGGCAAGCTTCGAAGCCAAAGCTGTTTCAAGACCCTCTTTCGAGCACTTCTCTTCGTTTTCTTTTTCGTGTTCTTTTTCTTTCTCCTTCTCCTTGTTTTTAGCATCGACAAGCTCATGGCTTAACTGCCTCACAGTGTCGTTCAGTTGGCCCAGAAATGATTCATTATTTTCTAACGCTTCTTCATGCTCTTTAATATTATTTCTCAACTTCTTCACTAGCGTTTCTTGTTTCTCCAAAAGATCTGTTCGCTCTACCAACAGGTTTTCTTTCTCTTCAAGATTCTGTTCTAATTCTTTCACACGTTTTTCACCTTTCTCCAACGATTCTGTCATCATTCTTGCCTTTTCTTCCAATTCTCTTTCATTGTTTTCAAGATTTTTCAGTTCATCGTTTTTCTCGTCAAGAAGGACCATCTTTTCTTCAAGAATGGCGTCTTTTTCAGTAACACTTTCTTCTAACTGGGAAACCATTTCTTTACTCTTTTCCAAAGCGTTGGAATTTTCTTTCACCAGCGTTTGCTGTTGTTCAAGATCACTTTGGAGCTTCTCTATTTCTTGGTAAAGATTTTGTACAATTTTATCGCTCTTTTCTTTCGATTCACATTCCTGCAATTCTTCGTCTAAAAAAAAAACAACAAATAAATAGAAGTTAGTAGGGCCTCATTTTGTTAAAAAGATTCGCACAAGTGAGGGTAAAGACTTCCAGAAGTTTTCCATCTATAAATATAGAAATTCCTGACTCTACAGTCTCGTCCCTTGATGACCGACTGCTTTCAGTACACAAATTGAGTGTTTAACGAAAAATATTCAAAGCTTCTCAACCATACATTCCATTTCAATTCACATTACCAAAGAATTCCTGAAATTTTTTAAAATTTGGTGAGGAAATGAGAATTTACAAGGAGTTTTCCAGTGCACTGGAAGAAAATGTCATAATTTCAGGAATTTTGGAAAAGTACGAACCCTGAATTATGGTTTTTCATACCCGCCATGTTGGCTGAATTTTCCAGGGATTCCAGGGGAAGTATGAACTCTGAATCCGATTTATTCAGATTATGATTTTCATAGTTTCCATGTTGGTTGAATTTGCTACCCTTAATATGATTATGATTCTCAAAGTTTCCATGCTGGCTAAGATTTACTTTAATTTTTCCAGGAATTTTCATTTTTTCATTAATTCCCTTGGGAATTGGATATTTTTACCATCTCTCTTCTTCAAAACGTCTAACTATCAAACACTTATTATGAAGATATGGACGTTATTTATCAATACTTTTATTTATTCGATTCGGCAATACAAACAAAAATTACAGTTTTTACAAACGAAACTTTTCACTCTTCCTATCTAAAGAAATTGCATCGCTACCTGCAGCGTGTAAGAATGCAGGCCCTATTACACGGTAAAAGTTGTGTTCAACGGCATTACGCGGCGCAACTTCGTCCCGAAACTTGTTCGCGACACAAGTTTCGGTAGCCTCCTTTGCAGCAGTTCGTAGGGACGTCACGCAACGTTGCGTGACGCCCCTAAGGACGGCTGCAAAGGAGCTAAAGTTTCAATTGCACGAGAAGATTCAAGTTCTACTTTTAGTGATACTTTCTCGCGACGAAAGTTTTGCAAAGCTTAAATAGCGTCGTGTAACACCCCCGTAAAATTTGTCTCGTAACGCCGTTTAAGTTTTAAAGTTTAGCCAAAAGTTTCAGCGTGTAGCAGGGCCTTGAGTATCGTTTTGGTGACGCTAATTCCATCTTCGTATAAATAAATAATGTATTGTGTGATCAAGAGTGACGATATAGTATTTTTTCGTATTTACAACATTTTTATTTTAGATATATAAGAATATATATTAGCCATTTCGAGGTTGAGAGAAAACTGGGTTGAGTTAGCGCTGCAGTGCATTGTGGGAATGTTTCAAAATATAGCATTCACCATTTTCCATACATCGGTTCACTGGTCAAACACAAAGCGCTCTAGCGAGGCGCCAAGGTATTTTCAAAGGATTATTCAAATTTGAACCTTGCAACCTCGACTGAATGCTTTGTCTTTTACCAGTGAAGCGATGTATTGAAAATGGTGAATGTATTTCATTCCCTAAAACAGTCCCAAAATGCACTGCAATGTCAACTGCAGGAATAAGGTAAGATTCTATTATTTTGTCTTTCAAGTTGAGAAGAACTTGGAATATTCTTCAAGAAAGTCTAGCACTGTAGCAGAAGAGCAAAATTGTCAAGCTCTCTCAAAAGAAATGATTCCTATTCTCATATTAGAATTCTCAAACTAAATGTACATCACTTCCTGGACATTCTAAAACTACAATATATAGTCAGCACAGAGTATCGTATTTTGTCTTTTTGGTCCCGTTTGAGTAAGCGTCACGTAATTCCCGCTTGCCGTGGCGTGACCTTAGCGAATAACCTTGGGGTGTTTTCTGTTTCCAGTCACACAATCCTGCGAAGTACAAACACCGCGTTACTCCCAGACAGAGTCTTGACACGAAAACGAAAGTTTTGATGAAAGGAAGCTAAAAACGTGCACTCGTAAAGATGGCCTAAATTAGTGCTAAAACTAACTAACAAAGAAACTAAGCAAAGATACGAGGGAGAG